TTAATATAGATGAATGATGTGACAATAAAAGATTATGTCGCATCTATTTATAGAACAGAGTTTATATATTTAATTTGTATACATCACATGCATTGTAGGTATAATAACTAGCCATAAAATTAAGTAACTTCCTATTATAATTAGTGGGTTACGTGTCTTCAAAATTCTCCAATAATTATTTAAAACTCTATAAATACCAAATTTACACGCACTCTCATTCAAACGATTTGAAACATCAATAATATTACAATTATTTTGATTCTTCAACATATTTTAGGGTGACTATACCAATAAAGCAATCAACGTGGAACAACAAACAAACTTGTGAACCCTTTAGTCTCATAAGTAGACCCAAATTATTTCATCATCAACATCACCATGATTAACCTAAACATCTTATTTTACCAAGTCAATGGTCATCCATTTAGTCGTCATATTCGAAAATTTTGATTAGTCTTTTGAGTTTCACGTACTAGTCCTTAATTTCAAGGTTGATAACAACACTTTTGAAAAGATTACAATTAAATGTATTTTTTAGGACATTATAAAGACTTTGGATTTAATTAATAATTAATATAGAAAATTTGGAAAGTGATATATCATATAAAATAAGCCTAAAGTACTTGGCGGGCGGCAATAATATACCCTTAGTTGTAGACAAATATTGAAGCATACGAAAGAAGACTCATACTCAACACCATATCTCACAAAAATTAATCTGCCGTTGCAATTTGGTTAAGGACAAATGTATTTGGTGAGAAATTGACCTTTTTATTATAAGGAATCAAACCATCTAGACAAAATTAACATCAATAAGCTAGCTTTTAATTAATTAATTAATTCCCAAATCAGGTGGGCAGATAGAATTTTCTTACCGATCATATTATCTTCTTTCTTTTTGGGAAAATTATAATCGATCCCTTGTTCTAATTGCAAGATATTCAACTATTGATAGCAAGATGAAACAAAGGAAAGCCAAATGGGTATCACATTGTAATCTAAGCCTTTATCCCTTTATAGCCTTTGTCTTATAATATTGGTTATATACTTGTATTGTACAATTTATTTTCTTTTAAATAGTTGGTGATGATAATATGTTAGCTGATGCTTGCGGCATTTATTGTAAATACAGTAGAAATACTCCTATATGTCATATTGATGGACTAAACTAATTTTATTATTATGAAATGTTATAATTTAGTATATGTTAGTTACAAAAATATTGTTTTATTTTTTTAATAATTTATATTTTAATAGTATAGGATTTCAACTCATGTTTTAATATATTAGATTTTATGAATTCAATATTTGTAGTATTGATTAAGTTACAAATGAGTGGATGAGGAGAATCAAAAATCATTACGAATTGAGTGATGATTTGACAACTTCACTATACTCATCGAATGGATATTAATGTCTCATAATATCAAATAAGCAACAAGTCATGTATGTTTTAACTGAAAAAATCATTATCAATAATAAGAAGAGGAAAAGATAATCATGAGGATGATAGTATGGAAATACAAAAGTTTCATGTCAAGAAACTCTTATATGCTTGAGAGATAGAAATTTTTGACTTCAAAAGAGTGTCTGCGGCGAGTTTTACTTTACCCCACGTATAAATCATTGTCTTAACAACTTTAAAATATTTTATTTCATCTTAAACTTTTAATGTAAATAACGTATATTTTTTTGTATTATACAAATATTATTACATGTAGATATAATTTTTTTAAACAGGTTTAGAAAATTTTTTAACTTATTATAATGTGATTTTATTCTTATTTATAATGGCCCAAGTTGGGACCATATTTTTTTATACTACTAAAAATTATTCCCATACAAGCATCACTATAAAGAGATTCTATTGTACTTATAAAATTGAGATATTAATTTTGAATATTAACTTATGTGGTATTTGATTGAAGAATATTTGATTTAGCGATATCATATAATTATATATAATATATGAGATAGTGTTATATAATAAATAAGTTTACAAGTGTAGTATTATCAATGAAATTGAAAGAGATATATCTTTGATGTATTCGATTTTAAAGAAATTTTGATGATTGTCAAAATTTTGAAGGAATTTTATGGTAAAATTCAAACTGTGAAACTAATATTATCTAGATTAACCCTGCGAGTCATAAACGTGTCCAACAAACCTTGGGGAATCAATAAACGTAGTCAATGATGTTAATAAAAGGTGAATTGATTGATTAAAGTGTTAAAACATCTTTAACGGGTTCTTATTTCGCAGAGCATCTTTTTAATAAGTAAAGAATATTTTCATTAATTTTAAAATATAAAAAACATAATTTTTATTCAAATCCAATAGACTCTTTAAAATTATGAAGATACTCTTATTTTTAAGAAAAAAACTTAATAGGAAGAGAATTAATAAATGAAATACATAGAACTTGTATTTATTAATTAAAATTAGGATAGCGAGGTGAAATTTGACTCTCTAAATGTGGAAAGTTAAACTCACTCTCTAATTTATATTTAAAGATAAAGAGTTAGACTCTTGTTTTATGGATAAATTCTTTATAATAAAGAGTTTGGGTAATAAAAGAGTCATTTGAAGATGCTCTTAAAAAATCATGACAAAAATTATCTTATCCTCATCCAATAATCTAAATAAAATACAAAGATAATCATAATTATATTTCAAATTGAAACGTAGTGATGAGGGAATCCAACTAATCTTTGACTTTCTGGTCTACCAACATTAAACCATACCTTCTATAAATCTTTCAATGCTTTGAACAATTCTCAACCAATTTAGAATTCAACGTGATGCCTCAATTATGATGTTATGAATGTTGAAAATTAGTGATATCATGCACCAAAAAGTCTACAAAATGAGAGAACTTGTTCCATTAGAATGCATATAATTAATTAATTAATTAAACTAGTGTTCAAATGAAGCAACTTAATTACTAAAGTGAGAAACACACAATTATATATTCATAACAAGAGGTTAGAATGTCATCTTCAAGATAATTCTAATAAATAGTTAATCATAAAAACTCTTCTCAATTTGATTCTGATCTTCCTTTCCAATATGTATGACAAACGTTCAACAACAAATCAATTTTCTTGTCTTTGTAGAAATCGTCTTAAATATTTATAAGAACATATTTTACAAAATTCAATTAGATTCATGACATTTATATACATGATATAATAATAAATTTATATAGCGAGATCTAACATTCGTAACATCGAATAAAATTTTGTAAACTTAAACAAATTAATATTATAAAAAAAAAAAAAAAAAAAAAAATAGTAACACTCGGATAGTAGATCATAGGACTTTATATATATACAAATCAACATCAAATTTGAACCTATGTTCAATTTTAAGGATACATGTTTCAATATTGTCGGTTTACTTCATGTTCATTATTATCAAAAAAAATTTTTTAAACATGGATTTTTCGAGGATAATACTACAACTAGATTGAATTTTTTTTTTTTTTTTTGCCACATAGTATAGTTTAGTATCCCTAGATTTAGCATTTAGAAAACCAAGGCCTAAATGTTGGATGAATATTTGGCTTCAGCTAGGCAATTAGGTTTCATCGCGACGGATTTAACGGATCATGTTCGTTAATAATCTTTCACAAATATTATTATTAATTGTTGTAATGTTTGATTATATTTTATTAATGGCATTGGATATCCAAGAAGTTGCCATATGTCAAGCTCAAATGCAAGGGGCAGCATCACCTTAGTCCCTAGTAGTTCATGAGAAGTTGGATCAAATTCTTCTTTAAGAACAATTCAAACATCAATTCCAATGTAAAAACTTATCTCCTTGATTATTCCATCGGCAACTTGTGTTTCCAATTTAACACATTGCATTATATTTTGTATGTTGCACTGAATAGAGCCAAATGCTAGAAGCCACATTATGAAACCAAGAAGAATAAAGACTAAAGTATTTTAAAGAATTGAATTGAATTTTATATCAATATCAAACCAAGTTGGAAGAATATATACTCTTGAATTTATATAACAAAGTTGTTAGCCGTTTGAATTAGTTTAATCAAACATATAAATTAAAAACATGTTGATTGGGAGTGTAATATTCGGAGATACCAAATGATACAACATTATTACCGCTCTACTATACTAATGGATTGATCTCTATTGTATAAATACTTTCTTATCGATTTCCTAGATTTATATGTTGCAATAATATATTTCTGGATTGTTGAGATATATTTTTCTTTGAATTGAAATCACAATGTGAACCGAATCTAGAATCAGCTACTCACTAGAAAGTAGTGCAGGAATTATTGCTAATTGTCAGTATATCAATTAAATTTTACATACACAATATTGTATACTCATCACTGTAAGAATTATAGATTATTACGATGAAAAGAAAGTGTAAATATAGACCATAATAACATTGCAAAACATATATAACAATGAGAAAAATGATTTATTACGATGTTTATATTTACGATAGAAAAAAGTTATTTAAAAGTCACAATACTACTGCAAATCAATGTCTTGATGTTGCATTTGATTAATTTTTCACTCATTAATCCTTACAATTAATTTTCATATATTAAATTATAACACAACTGATATGATATTACTGTGTTATCATAGGTTTTCTTTATGTTAGCATGATATAGAGCAATAATATAGTGTTCGTATATAATCTACGTGTATAATTACCCATATGTATGTTAAATTAAATTTCTTAATGATCAAGCTTAATTAAGTTTTATCTTATTATTATTAGTTTCTTGAATTACTAAGAATAGTAAGTGTTACTCATTGAATATAAGCAAAATCCTGTTGACAAATTTGTTTGGCCACTCGATCACTTTCAATTTATTAGGCAGGAAATTTTAAAGACAAAAAGCATTGTACAAAATTTCAGCATCTAGAAAGAGAATAAAGACAAAGTCGCATATAGGACGGTAGGTTGGATTCCCCATTTTTCCCTGCTGTTTCTTGTCCCCTTCAATTGGCCTCTTTCAACTCTTCCGAAATACCAAAGCAACCAAATCAATTCATCCATAAAATAATTTCATACTTCGTTTCATATATTAAATTAATCTTCACCATGTTTTCTTGATATTTGACACTGATTCTTGAATAATAAAAAGATACCCTTGTAGCCTTAATTTCCTTCTTCAATATGCTTTGTTTCTATTCCCATGTAATGACACAAAGGAATTTTTTGAGTTATTCTTCCATGTCACATTCAATTCTTCCATAAAATCTCAAATTTGATATCTATCTTTAGTTATCTACATTTTGCTCTTATGTCTCTCATGGAAGATACTGATGATGAGTTCTTGAGTCTCAGCCTTGCTATTGTGGAAGATAATTCCTGCGCCGCTACCGACAGGAGGCGAAAGAGGAAGAGGAGGGCTAGTTTTGATCATCTTTTGAGTAACGCATATGATCATGAAGGTTATTGTGAAGGGAAGGTCTTTAGTCTTCTTCAAATGAGGGAACAAATGTTAAAGTTAGACCATAAAAGAAAAGGAGTTGTTGAGGAAGACGGAAAAGGGCTTCAATTGATTCATTTGCTACTGATTACTGCCACGGCGGTTGACGAAAACAATCTCGATTTGGCCTTGGAGAATCTATCCGAGCTCTATCAAAGTGTGTCGTTAACCGGAGACTCGGTGCAAAGAGTTGTTGCTTATTTCGCCGATGGCTTGGCAGCGAGGCTTCTCACTAGAAAATCTCCTTTCTATGATATGATCATGAAAGAACCAACTAATGAAGAAATGTTTCTCGCTTTCACCGATCTTTATCGCGCCTCTCCCTACTTTCAGTTCGCGCATTTCACTGCGAACCAGGCAATAATCGAGGCATTTGAGAAGGAAGAAGAGAACAACAACCGTGCATTACATGTAATTGATTTTGATGTGTCCTATGGTTTCCAGTGGCCTTCTCTCATTCAATCACTCTCCGAAAAGGCAACGAATACTAATCGAATATCGCTTCGAATCACTGGATTCGGAACAAGCATCGAAGAACTGCAAGAAACCGAAACTCGACTAGCGAGCTTCGCGAAGGGGTTTAGGAATCTTGTGTTTGAGTTTCAAGGATTGCTGAGAGGATCCAAGCTGATTAACCTGAGGAAAAAGAAAAATGAAACAGTTGCTGTGAATTTAGTCTTTCATTTAAACACTTTGAACAATTTTTTGAAAATATCTGACACACTGAAATCAGTTCATTCACTTAAGCCCTCAATTGTGATCTTAGTGGAACAAGAAGGGAGCAGGAGTCCAAGAAATTTCCTGTCAAGATTCATGGAGTCTCTGCACTATTTCGCCGCGATGTTCGATTCTTTAGACGATTGTCTTCCACAGGAGAGCACGGAGAGGTTAAGCATTGAGAAGAACAATCTAGGAAAAGAGATCAAAAGCATGCTCAATTGTGATCACATGGAGAATTCAAACCATCCAAGATATGAGAGGATGGAGACATGGAAGTTAAGGATGGAGAACCATGGATTTGAGGGGATGAAAATAAGTTCAAAGGCTTTGATTCAAGCGAAGCTTCTTTTGAAGATTAGAACCCACCATTGCCCTCAATTTGATGGAGAAAATAGTGGGTTTAAAGTGTTTGAAAGAGACGAAGGAAGAGCGATTTCTTTAGGGTGGCAAGATAGATATTTGCTTACAGTTTCTGCATGGCATTGTGTATGAATATAGTTTTAATCTTTCTAACACATTCATATATATGTGACTTTATCAAATAATATTAGGGATTTGGGATGCACCAAATTGTTATTCGTGCTAATTGAAGTTGCTCTATTTCATCTTCTTGTATTGGTTAGGGGTTTTCCTTTCGTTTTGCTCTAATTGTATATTTATTTTTTTGTTAATTTATTTGTTTGAAACCTTACCTTATCTTATCTTATCTATCTTGACTAATATATTCATTACGTTAATATTGTCGTATCATATATATGTGCTACAAATGTACCTTAAAATGCCGCGCGTACATTCGTGTGGGGAATCTAAGGTCATGTTATTAAGCTCACTAGAATTGACTCTAATACCATTTATAATGATTTGCTCTCACATAAATAATATTGTTAGTCTAACCTTCATATCCCATAAAAATGATTCAAGTATGTGAGAGATTTCCTCCCACTAATATGAAGCTCTTTGTGTTATTATATAAGAAAAATTGTGCACGTTAGACCTTAAACGAACAATATAGCATATTTTTTTCAAATAAAAAAGCTGCAATTGTCTTTTTCTTCAAAACTCTTAAAAAATCAGTAAATAACCTTAAAAATTGACAAAATCTCCTATCATGGATATACATATATGTTTCTCGTCAATTATATCATTATTATACTATAATTTTTTCGAAAAATTTATATTTAATTTTATGAACCCACTAACAGACCAGTGTTTTTTTTAACATCAACTACTAAACCCTCCTAAAAACGAAAATTTTATTTTTTAAATTGCTAAAAACCCCTTTGGGGGTGTTTTTGATAGTTTCTAGAAATACTAGTGTCAATTGATGAAACAAAAATGATATCTTAAAGGCTGAATAACATTCTCCCACCTGAAGTTTGCCTTAAAGACATTTCATATCCAAAAAGTTCTAAAATGACAATTACCCACTTTCAGTTAACATTTGTCCGTTAAATTTAATTAAAGAAGGATATGATAGTGAATAAAAAAACAAACAAAGGTTAATTATGTCCTTTACCCCTTATATATAAAAAATAAAAAAAATCCACTCCATCTTCTTCTCATCACCACTACCAATGCCACCGTCGGTTGTTTGCTGTTGGTTCTTGCTAGATTCTTCACTGGAATCGACAGGAAAAGCTACCCTAACCCCAATCACACACTTACCCAGCCTTACCGACCGCTTTTTGGTTGGATTTTCACCTCCCTGCAACACAAACAACCTTCGCCCACTATATTCAAGCCAAACCGGCCTGAATCTGGCACTGTTGAGTTGCCCCACCGCCACCAACAGACTCCTCACAACTGCCTTAACAAAACCCCTCTTTCCCAAGTAAATCCACCCCTTACTATCGGCCACCACGCATGGTTGACTTGCATGATCTCACCCTTTTTTCGATTGATCACGGTGTTGACAACCCTAACCACCACCACCTTTTGGCTCACCAGCTTCCCCCCTTACAAAACCCCTAATCTTTTGGGCCTCGGCAGCCCATCGTTCGCTGTTCGCCACTCAACCTAGGGTTTGTTGCATTTTTTAAAAAATTGGTTGTTGAGGATTGTTGTTTGATGAAATTGAAGTTTGAGGTTTGTTTAAGGGATTAATTGAAGTGTTTTTGTGATTGAATTTGGCCGAAAAACCAACCATTCACAGTCGATTATCCTCCCAACCCAACTTGCCCACCAACCATCACTACAAGAAAATGTACATTCTACAACCAAATTTTTAGTAATTGGCCCATATTGGTCGCAGATTCCCCACATTTACCAACTAAAATGCAATTGGTTGGAAAAAGGGGAATAAAATTTTGGGGGCCATTTATTCCCACCTTTGGCATCTAAAACTAATATTCTGCAACTATTTGATTAGTTGCAGAACAATTTACATTGGCGACTAATTTATTGGGTTAACAATTTTTGCGCGGAAAATTTTCCCGGTAAAACAAAACAATTGGCATCTAAATAAAGATATTTTGCATCTAAATTTTTGGTTATAGAGAACAATTATTAGCAACTACACTATAGTAGCTAAATTAGATGCCAAATCTTTATTAATTAATTGGTAACTATTCTGATTAGTTACATAATAACAAAATTACCGAAATATCTAAGTTTTTGACAATAATTAAAAAGGGCTCAGGGTATATTTAGCAACAAATTATTTTGTGCATATTAAAAATAGTTGCAAAAACACATCTATAGCAACTAAATTGGATTTAGTCGGCAAAATTAATTGAAATTTAGACCCGCCCACTCTCACAACAAAAGGAAACAATTGGCTAATAAAAATAATTTGTTAACTAAAATGATTTTAATATAGGCAAAATAATTTTCATGTTCCCACCCAATTTTCGTCTTCCCGCAAGAGGAAAATCATAGGCTACCAAAATGATTTTTTGGCAACTAAAAAATTAGTTCAAAATTAAGTTGTTTGGCAACTAAATTGTAGTAGTTAATATAGTTTGCAAAAGATACATGTAACCTATTAGAGTAGGTGCCCTAGAGTCAATCAATTAGTGTAAAACTGACTTTGTAATAAATATTTATTTATCAATAAAAGACATATTCTTCTATATCATGTATGTAATGATATATGTCCTCATGATGGTAAAATCGTGACGAGGTTATCAAGTGTTTCAAATCTTGATAGTGAGAACCCTATGATCACATATGGTGGCAATTCTAGAAACGTTCGTAGCTCCAGCATTATTCTGACCAAGGACATAGATCGTACAGTAAGACTATCATAGTGTTGAACGATCCTGTCAAAAGGCAGTGATTGATCTCACTTGTCAAGGTTGTTTGCCGACAACCTAGTGCAACACATGGGTGCTTACTAGATGCAAGTTCACTTGACAGACCCACTAGAAGATTGCATATGGATAGTAACCCTAGTGTCTATGGAATAAATCCTCTAATGGATGGTGGTGCATGTGATCCTTAGACTTGAGATCACTGGAGTGCCTTGTGCATCAATTGGTGTAGTTTGACACTAGCCCAACGTAGTTCTATTAAGAGCTATCAATATGGTAGTGATTTGTTACATTGAGAAGTGTATCGAGACTATGGTGGATTGACAAAGGATTTATCACTCCTGGGTACGGGAGAAGTTATCTCATTAGGTAATTCAGTAAATGGCAATGACACTAAATCTGTGGCGATAGTGGGATTGAGTTGTTGCTCAATCTAATTTAATATTCCTATCATTGGTCTAGTAACTGAATACAAACATGTCAAGGATATATGAGGTTGACACTATTTTTGTACCTCATCTTGATGAGATAACAGTTGATGAAATATTGATTTAATTTCACGGTAATCATACCGTTGACAGGTTAAGGTTTCACTGAATCCAAATCTATTAGGTGACCATGATGCCTTGCTAGGGGCCAATCTTGGTCTGTGTGTAGTAAGACGATTAATTGGTGTTAATCGCGATACTACACACTGCCGATATGATGAGGAGCCTGCGGGTCACGCACTTAGAAAATAATTTAAGAATCAATTTGTGAGAAGGGTATTTTCGTCTTTCAGGACGAAAAGGTGTTTTGGTAATCTCGCAGTGCAATTAAATTTGTTGAGGTTGTTGCCTTTATTTAATTTGATATTAAAATTAAATTAGTGAGATTATATTTGAATATATCTATGTATATATTTAAATGAATTATTATTATTAATTAAATGTTAATATATTATTATATATTAATTAATTTTAATTATAATAATAATTAATTAATTTAAAATATCAATTACATGGTGTTTGGTTGTAAGGGTGAACTAAGGTTGGAGTCCATGGCTATTCCTAAGTGGAATAGGGTTTTAATTGTTGCACTATATAAGTGCAACTTAAAATTAATTATTTATTCAATTAAAACCCTAGCCACACAAAATCTCTCTCTCTCTGTCTCCCTCTCTCTCTCTCTCTCTCACACACACACACACACACACATTTCACTCTTGAGTGAAAAAGATTTTTTGTTTCTTGTTCTTCTTTCTTGGTTCTTGAAGCCCTTGATTGTTCTAGCAAAATAATCAAGGGTTCTGCGGATTGTCTTCGTGTGGATTTCCGTGAGTGCGATCCTACTTTGGATCGATTAGAGAAGAATCACGTGAATAGTATCGATGAATAATATCCGGTGAACAATGTCGATGAACAGTAGCTGGTGAAGTGTGATTGTCAGCAAAATCAGAGATACTTGGAAGAGCCTCCAAACATGTGTAAGCATTCTGAATCCTTGTATGGATTTATTATATTGTTGTAATGCAAAATTTATAAACACTATAATATGTACCCAGATTTGGGATTAAGCATATGATCGGTTTTTATTTGTTTTGAAACTATGTTTTTCCGCCACGTATACCCGATCACATGCTAACAATGGTATTAGAGCCTTGGGTACCAGATTATTTTGTTTAATCTTTGATGTTTGATAACATGATTTGTTTGATAAAATGTTTTCGCATAATTTGTTTTCATGAATCTGGAAGATTTTTGTATATTGATTGGTTTAATTGATCAATTGACTAATGATGTGTTGATGAGTGACTTATTGGTTGGTTGATGTCCTGGTCGAATGCTTATGCATTCGATTCAATTTGGATTTGTATCATTACGTGAAAAACTGCAAAAAGGGTGACTGTGTGATTCACTGTGTTGTGGAGTTAGCCGCGGCAAAATAACACTTCGCCGTAATCTGGCTGCGGCGAAATAAACCTTCGCTGCGGCGACGTGCCAGAAAAGTAGATCTAGCCACGACGAAATAAAACTTTGTCGCGACATGAAACTCTCTGGAACGTTTTGTGTTTTCTGGAAATTTATGGCATTTGCCGCAACAAAATAAAACTTCACCGCAACGACCATGTGTATGAACTTTGCCGCAAGAAAGCTACTGTTCCATTTTTGCTTTTCATTTTTCACATAGGGGGCCAAATTGTAGTTTTTGAACCTATAAAGCCAATAATAATTCTACACATATAAGAAGGGTAATTTAATAATTTCACCCACCCAAATTCAAAATGTTAATTTTGGATGTATGTAATGTTCTTGTTTGAAATTGCATGGTGCCCGGTACATGAGCCTTAGACCTTTGGTATGCTTTTATAATTTTGGGTTTGCTTGTAA